AGGATCGAACCCAGAGCGAGGTGAGCACTCTACCACTGAGCTACAACCCCAGCCCCAAACATAACTCTTAAATAATCCATTCTTATCTTGGTTGCAACAAGCTGTAGTCATTATCCTGGATTTGAATGATAACCAACCTCTAAGGAGGCTTGATAAATTATAACAGTTATCAGGGGGTACAGTGGTATACACCTGTAATCCCAGCTGCTCTGGAGGTGGAGACAGGAAGATCTTAATTTGTAGACCAGCTTTAGCATCTTAGTGATGCTGTCTCAAAATAAATAATAAAAAGGACTAGGGATGTAGTTTATTAGCAAAGCACCTCTGGATTTGATCCCTAATATAATGTAATGTAATGTAATATAATACATCTCTCTCTATATATAACTAAAACAGTTATCTAAGATATTTAAAATGTATTTTCTTCTATAAATTAGAATGTTAGAATGACTGTATACTCATTGCTTAACAGCTCAGCAAAATTGAAACATCGCAACAGAGGGAACATTCTAGCAACAGAGGGAAAATACTTCCATGAGTTTCATTAAATCTTCTGTTCTGTTGGGTGTGATGGCACACATCTATAATTCCAACTACTCAGGCCAAAGCAGCAAGATCACAAGTAATTTCAAGGTCCATCTGAGCAATTTACATTTAGCAAGACCCAGTTTCAACTAAAGAATAAAAAGAATTGGAGTTGTAGTTCAGAGGCAGAGGGCCCCTGTGTTCAATCCCAGCACTAGGGGAAGGGGGAATACCCACAAAACACAGAAAAACAAACAAAAAAACCCAGAAACTTCTTTCCACCTTGGGTCTTGCCCTTCTTGTCATCCTGGAAATGGGATGACTTTTGAAAACTTATTGGAAGTGTATAAAGCTACATTTGTAAGTAGTCAAATTCCTGTGTATCGCTTGGACATATGAATCAAACCTTTTAATTGGCAGTTCTTATGGGAATAAACACTCTTGTGTGCTTTTAAGTAGAAATCACAGAACAGGATGGATGAAGGAGAGTGCTTTTGTCTCAGTAAGGTCATTAATTTAGGAGATTTGTTTTCTGAGCCCTTTATTAGCAGGGACATGAGCCATCCTCTAAAAACTAGTGAAGCTCAGACTGTCCCTGAGGAAACTGTGCCCTGTGGCAGTTTTGTTGCACTTGTTACAGTGCCTAACCCCACACAGTTCTCACCTACACTCACATGGACTGTGAAGGCCTTTGGTGTAGTCACATTCTGAGAGGACTGAAGCCCTGCCTCTGAGGTGGGATGTTGGGAGCTGCTCCTATAGTACCTTATGGCTCCTTTGATCAGGAGGTTGCTTCTCCAGCAAAGATTCCTCTGCGTTGACATGAGCTTTTATGAGTTGTTGCGTGAAGAAACATCTTTCTCTTTCATGTATGCACATACACAAATCAGAAGCCGCTTCACATCTATTGATTATTGACCTCGAGACAATTGTTTATTCATTAATTAAGTTGTCTTTTACATGAATAGTTATACCATCCATGATTACTGAGGGAATGAGCATTCAGAGTAATTAAGGGTTTGGTGGGAGATGAATTGGAAACATCATTTATGACCAGGTATGAGATACCTAAGTCAGGGGTCTGAGACTGTCTTTCTCTTGTTGAGTAGCTAAGAATCACTGACAGCTTGTAATGGGCCACCTTTCATATTTTTTTTCAACAAATCTCTCAAGCTGTCTCATTACTGATGAGCAGGAAGTCTAGTATCTCCTTCAGGATGACTTTTCTGGGCCCAGGAATCATTCTGCAGAACTCCAGAGATTCATTACATCTAAAGGGGTGCTGGGAACTGCAACTCTTTGGGTTACATTCGAATATTCAGCTCTTAAGCACAGCTACTTTCTTAAACACAGTCTGGGTACTCAGGGCCTTCCAGTCATAGATATAAGTTGTACTGAGACAATCCTCTCCATAAGCATCCAGACCTTGACCTTGAGTATTAGTCACCTTCTCATGGTGACTTTCTCTGTGGGGTTTTTGATGTCCTTGCCTGATGCAGATCTCAGCTGAGGGTGTCAGTATATCAGAGTCCCTTTGGACTTCCAGTGGGAAGGAATGAGAGTCTCTCTGCTTGTCATCTAGGAGGTTCCTTGGCCCAAGATGCAGAATTGACCAGTAAGTTTTGAATTCTTGGGAAGGCAACCTTGGTCAGAAGACAGGAAATACTTTTATTCTTTCTCCAGGGGTGCCTCCGTGCCTGGTACTTGCGTAAGTAGGAAAGGGACAACTCTTGTTAGAGAAGATCTCAGTGGCATAACAACACTTGTGAAGACTCACAAGATTCCTGCTACACATAATGAAGGCTACTGAGTAGGGACATGGCTTGATTGGCTCTGTGATTTAGACATGATGTTGCAATGGACTGAATGTTTATGCCTCTCCAAAATCCACATGTTGAAATCCTAGCCCCTAAGGCAATAGTATTAAGCCAAAGGTTGGGACCTTTGATAGGTGATTAGATCGTGAATGTGATTAGTGCCCTTATAAAAGAAACCTCAGAAAGTTGCCTTGCCCCTTTCATCTTGTGAGGAAGCAACAGAAATATAACCACCTATGAAATAAGAGAAGAGCCCTCACCAGACCCTGAATCTGCCCATGCCTTTATCTTGGACTTCCAAGAACTGTGAGAAATAACTTTCTGTTTATAAGCCACTTAGTCTATGATACTTTGCTGGAGTATTCCAGACAGATAAATGTATGAAGGTTGGAGTAGTGATAAGATCTTGATATAGGGTAGAAGCTGGGACTGTAGGTGAGAGAGATTTACTATTTTAAAACAAAAACTTGTTATGAAAGTAAAGTAGAATTGACAGGATTTAGTGATATCATAGCCATGGGTCAAAGCTAAAGCTTGTCTAACTTGGTAGACAGTAAAGTCTTTTTTTTTATTTATTTATTTTTATTTATTTTTTTTAATTTTTTATTGTTGGCTGTTCAAAACATTACATAGTTCTTGATATATCATATTTCACACTTTGATTCAAGTGAGTTATGAGCTCCCATTTTTACCCCATATACAGATTGCAGAATTACATCAGTTACACATCCATTGATTTACATATTGCCATACTAGTGTCTGTTGTGTTCTGCTGCCTTTCCTATCCTCTACTACCCCCCCTCCCCTCCCCTCCCCTCCCCTCTTCTCTCTCTGCCCCCTCTACTGACATTCATTTGTCCCCCTTGTATTATTTTTCCCTTTCCCCTCACTTCCTCTTGTATGTACTTTTGTATAACTCTGAGGGTCTCCTTCCATTTCCATGCAATTTCCCTTCTCTCTCCCTTTCCCTCCCACCTCTCATCCCTGTTTAATGTTAATCTTCTTCTCATGCTCTTCGACCCTACTCTGTTCTTAGTTACTCTCCTTATATCAAAGAAGACATTTGGCATTTGTTTTTTAGGGATTGGCTAGCTTCACTTAGCATAATCTGCTCTAATGCCATCCATTTCCCTGTAAATTCTATGATTTTGTCATTTTTTAATGCAGAGTAATACTCCATTGTGTATAAATGCCACATTTTTTTTATCCATTCATCTATTGAAGGGCATCTAGGTTGGTTCCACAGTCTTGCTATTGTGAATTGTGCTGCTATGAACATCGATGTAGCAGTGTCCCTGTAGCATGCTCTTTTTAGGTCTTTAGGGAATAGACCGAGAAGGGGAATAGCTGGGTCAAATGGTGGCTCCATTCCCAGCTTTCCAAGAAATCTCCATACTGCTTTCCAAATTGGCTGCACCAATTTGCAGTCCCACCAGCAATGTACAAGTGTACCCTTTTCCCCACATCCTCGCCAGCACTTGTTGTTGTTTGACTTCATAATGGCTGCCAATCTAACTGGAGTGAGATGGTATCTTAGGGTGGTTTTGATTTGCATTTCTCTGACTGCTAGAGATGGTGAGCATTTTTTCATGTACTTGTTGATTGATTGTATGTCCTCCTCTGAGAAGTGTCTGTTCAGGTCCTTGGCCCATTTGTTGATTGGTTTGTTTGTTCTCTTATTGTCTAATTTTTTGAGTTCTTTGTATACTCTGGATTGGATCCTCAGTGTCACATAAAGATAATAATTCATTATAACTAGTAATAATAGGTAGTTAATAATTAATAATAGGCTGGGCTTGGTGGCACATGCCTGTAATCACAGTGGCTCTGGAGATAGAGGCAGGAGGATCTCAAGTTCAAACTCAGCCTCAGCAATTTAACAAGGTGCTAAGCAACTCATGAGACCATGTCTCTAAGTAAAATACAAAAATAGGGCTGGGGATGTGGCTTTGTGGTTGAGTGCTCCTGAGTTCAATCCCTGGTACCCCACCCACCACCAAAATTAATAATATACCAATATTGACTCATCAATTAAGGAATGTACAACACTAATAGGACATGTTAATATTAAAGCCAGGTGAGATAATGCACACCTATATCTCAGCTACTTAGAGGAGGCTGAGACAGGATTGCAAGATCAAGGGCAGTCTCAGCAATTTAGTGAGACCCTAAGCAACCTTGGAAGAACTTGTCTCAAATTAAAAGGGCTGGGGATATGATTCAGTGGTTAAATTCCCAGCACCAAAAAATAAACAAAAAAAAGAGGCAGGGAGTTAGGGTTATAGCCCAGTGGTAGAGTGTCCCTGGGTTCAATCTTAGTACACACACAAAAAAATTAATATTAAAGAGAAGCATAAAAGAACTCTTTTGCTCAGTTTCCCCATAAACCTAGCAGCTCTACTTAAAAAAAAAAAAATATATATATATATATATATATTTAATACTTGAGTCTGACACAAATGATCAGGAGACACTGAAAATGAAAAGATGGTCAGAAACCAGCCCAGCATTCATCAGGCTGTGTGATGATTTACCTATGGGCTCTCCACCACTTGTCCTGGGAGGGAAGAGGAATATTTGCAAATTTATGTCCTGTTTTGGGGCCAATAGTTGGAAAGCAGAAAACTTTTTGTCTGTTTCTTCTCAATTGCCTTCAGATCAAAATAGTATTTCAACATTGCTTAAGGTGGCACCTTTTGGTCTCCCTACAGTGCATTGCTTTTTCTCTCTTGTTATAATTAATCCTTTCATCATCTTCTTATTCCTTTTTACACATTCAGGGCATAACATATTATCTTCTAGTCCCGAGGGTGGAAACATACAGGCAGGTAACAGGAAAAGGGAAATCATCCTCTTGGGAGTGTCAGGGACCCAAGTCTGACCTGCATGGAACTGCAGTCGAACCCAGCCTGCTGTTTCTGCAGAAAGAAACTGGTCATGGACCACACACCACCTGACACCAGAGGTTTGCAGCAAAAAGGCCTCCACAGAAGTAGGGATGGGACACGAATTCACAGCCTTGCGCTGATTGGCTCTGGCAGCGATCCTTGCCCAAGATGCCAATATGGACTCCTGAGCTGAATTTACCACTTCAATCATGTTAGTCTCTTCCTCTCTTTTAACCTTATTATGACTTTCCTGAAGCCCTGCTGCATTGGCCACTGCCTTCCATTTCCTGGAAACTGGCTTCAATCTGGCCTCCCGAGGTGTTTCAGGAATATCATATATTTGTCCGGGATATGCATGCTTCTGTAGCCTCAAATAAACCTCTATTTTCTGGCCATCAGTACTCAAATTAAATTGTTGGCACCAGTTTCGCAAAGTATCCCGAGAAACCTTATTAATTGGAGGCAAAATGGTCGGCAAGGGAAGGGGTTGTATTTTACAATTAGGTTTTGTTTCAGGAAAGCAGATTTTCTTGGGCTTCCCAGTGCTGCTAACCGAGCAGTCTCTGTTCTCATACTCTTATTGTTTTTCCTGGGATTTTAAGGTTTGATACCTTCCTGTTTGATTTCTGCAGTTGAAGAAACACTTGTTTCTATTGGATATTCTTGTTCCTCTGTAACTGGGACCAGTGTTAAAATCACATTTTCCTCATCGAATTGCTCCTCAAGGAAGTTCTTCTCAGTGACCCTGTCATTTGCGCCTGACATTTCCAGGAACACCGGGAGACGGCAAAGGAAGCAGGGCTCAGGACAGCTATGCTGTGTGCTCCTTCGACAGTAAAGTCTTGAATCAAAGCATGGACTAGGAGAAACAGAATATGTAATGGATGAGAGAACAAATGACTTTATCAACACATTGTTTTATCTATAAGAGGTACTAGTGAAGGTGTTTAGCAGGCAATTAGATGGATATACTGGAGTGATCAATACTTAGGTGATAGGTCAAGTTGTGAAAATTGAGATAACCAGGAGAGTTTAGAGTAAGGAGAGCCAATGACTGAGGAATGGAGTTTAGGCAGGAATAATATTTAAGAAAGAAAGAGGAATCCTGGAATACCTGAGCTAGAATGAATTCCAGAAGTAAGACTCAAAGTGGTGGGAGAGTCTTTTCCACTGACCAGAGTAGCAGCAGCAGAGGGCTGCAAGGAGGTAGAAGAGGGGGTGTTGAGAGTGCCAAGTACTATTGCTATGAGGTTGGCACATGAAAATGGACGTATGTACCTGTCATGGTTCTTGGTTGCAAATTACCAATGACTCTGTCTTGTATATAAGGAAGTCATTGGAAAGGTGCAAGGGAAGTTACAGAACCTACAGGAAGTCTAGAGAGCCACACCCAGAAAACTGACCATAGATGAGGAAAGCAGTAGTGAGAGACATAGCCGCAGCCAGGCCACGTGAACAGTCTGGCTTAGGTTGCCCCATGGCTGATGCTGAATCCATGAATCCTGATGCTGAAATCCTAGCCCCTAAGACAATGGTATTAAGCCAAAGGTTGGGACCTTTGATAGGTGATTAGATCGTGAATGTGATTAGTGCCCTTATGAAAGAAACCTCAGAAAGTTGCCTTGCCCCTTTCATCTTGTGAGGAAGCAACAGAAATATAACCACCTATCAGCACTGAGTCCTGATGATTGTGGCACTGAAAAAATGATTTCCAAGTCACCCATTTCTTTGTCACATTCTTTTTGATCCAAACCCTGGGCAATCAGGCAGGCTCACAACAGGAGGGCACAGGGAGAGCCATACACAAGTCTTTTCCTTTAGTGGTCAGGTAGCCCATCATGACAGGTCATATAGTCTGGCTGTGCTCTTGATGTGCTCTTCATGGTCTTAGCAGGTATAGGGGAATAGCAGCTAAAATAATAGATGTTTGGAAAGTGGGAAAGCTAGATAAATATCCTTGTGCCCTCTTTTTTGGGAGGCCTAACTTCAGTGTCCCTAAGACTGGCAGTAGGCGTGGAGCTTGTTTAATCTGTAAGTGTGTCACTGGGTTCTTCTTGTAGCCATGTCTCCTAGGGCCACCCTGAGTCTACTATGGTATCCAAGGTCAGAGGACAGATTTGTCTTCTAGTTTGTTAAGAATGTTTGAATCTATCCAGAATTGGGGGATGGTAGAGAACCCTTTCTCAATGTGAAGGTACAGGCAGCATTAGCACTGAACTCTGGGGTTTGTGAAGGGTCCTTATGGTGAGATGGGTGCATCAGACCAATATCCTGATGTCTTTAAACCATTGTTTGAGCTTTTTCCCCCCCTCACTTTACATGGTGATGGCATCATGTAAAGGGGCATCCCCTCTTGGAAGATAAATGTCACAATCATGTTAATTTCCTAGTATTCGCTTAATGTGTTACAGACTTAAATTTATCTCTATGAGTTTATCAGTTAGCATCGAGAGAATATAACAGCCTTGTATGTCCAAGGACTCAGTGTTAGGCAGTTATTGTTTCTCGTTGTTAGTTGACACAGGGCATGCTGGTTTTTTTTTTTTTTTTTTTCCTCCCGTTTAGTTACAGATGGACACAATATCTTTATTTTGTTTATTTATTTTTATGTGGTGCTGAGGATTGAACCCAGTGCCTCATGTGTGAGCAAGCACTTTGCCACTGAGCTACAACCCCAGCCCAGGGCATGCTATTTTGATAGGTAGATTTGTCCAGTGTGATGAACATGAGTGCCTGAGAGGCAGGTGTGCTCCTGGCATATGCACCAATCCCCATGCACCCTTCTGGGTGAGGAGTCTTGGGAGATGCCTGCTGATCTCACCCCTGTGGAAGCACTTTGGTGTCTTGTGACTGTGGAATGGCCTACCCTCCTGCTGAGATCTCTGGGGTATTGTGCTTGTTCTCCCTTTTGTCAAGGAGACTCTCCCCCACCCCAGGCCATTCTCCACCTGAAGGCCTTTTTCCTACTCATTCTCCTGACCTTTCTCTGTTTCCCTCTTGGAATTTATTGATGTTTTGAACCACCTTGAGTGTTAAATGCTCTTTCCCTTTTAAAAGGCGTAAAGAGGGCAGAGGACCTGTGGCTTGTTTGTCTGTGGGCATTGTGCCTACTGCAGGAAGCATTGCTAGGAAGAGAACAGTGTTGAACTGAAGAATTCCAAGGTAGGGCTCAGTGCAGGGGAGAGGGGAAGAGGCCTGGAGGCCTCCAGGGGGAGCCTTGAGGCCTGAGCCACCAAAGGGAAAGTGGGGCCACTGGAGGCAGGCTATGAAACCTTCTGTTTGTGGAACTGCAGCACACCCAGGTTACCTGCCAAACAACAAAATCTTATTTCAAGATATAAGTAGCATGTAAAAATATAAATTCCTAAGAAATTTCAGAAAATTACAATGAATAAAAATCACCTGCAATTCCACCATTATCATGCTTTTGTTTGTATAATTTTACTTTTCTGAGTGAATATAGTATATGTTTTTGAAAACATTAATGGAATCTTATGTACTTATAGTGTTGTATCCAGTTCTTTTCATTTTACACTATGATATAGGCTTCCTTTTATGTCAGTAGAGGTCTACATTGTTATTAAGTGGCCTCATGTTCTGTGATATGAAGAATACTGTGTTTCCTATTGTGGACTTAGATCCCTTCTTTCTTTATATTTAAACCATGTAAATTCCACTGTGATAAATAGTCTTAAAATTGTCATTTCAGTACCTTAAGACACAGAACTTTAAGTCTAGTTACTAATATAGTAGAATGTAATTGGTATCCTAAATATTTATTTTGTTACTGGGGATTGAATCCTTAATCACTGAGCAACATCCCCAGCCCTTTTTATTTTTTATTTTGAGACAGAGTCTTGCTAAGTTGTTTAGGGCCTTCCTAAATTGCTTATGCTGGCTTTGAACTTGGGATTCTTCTGTTTCAGCCTCCCAAGTCATCCAGCACCCCTTCCCCCCCCCCCCCCTTTTTAACTTGTTCTGTCTCTTTGGGGTTTGTATTAGTCATTTGATGTTCCCTATTCACTTCAAGTTCCTCTTCCCCTCCTAGAACTGGAATAGGTATTTTATCTTTAGGTTCCCGAGACTCTGTCATAAGGAGAAACTCCCCATAAGTTTCTAGCTGAAGGATGTTGATAGTAATTAATATAATCATAACAGTAAGAGCAACAATGGTATTGGTAAATGTGTCGCTTTCCCTGTGGACTGTGAGTTCATTTGTAGTTATCAACACAGTCCTTGAGATTGATACTGTAAACCCCATTCAGTAGATGAGAAAACTGAGAGTTTAATGGATTAAATGACCTATATAAGGCTTATGAGGGTGGCATTAAGCTGCAAACCCTCGGTGGCCCATTCCTGGGCAAGTAGTCTCTTTCCATTCTGTATGTCTTTCTTAGCCAAACCAGCACTCCTGATAGTAGTGATACTTTATAAGGCTAAAGACACTCTATGGTTTTTAAACTAGAGGCAAAAACACTTTGTCTTTTTTTAGATACTTAAAGTTGTAACTGCTTTTCTTTCTTTGGCTACGTCAGACAGGAGCAGCAAGTCAGTAGGGTATCATGGTTCCGTGGCCAACTTCAGTAAGTACCTGTTTCCTCCTTGGATTTCCCTCTACACTTTATTTGGCTAATTCAGGTTTTACCTTCTGTTCCACTCTTTCATTCTGTCACTGGACGGATGTTAAACGTCTGTTACTCTGTGCTCAGAGAATGTGCGGCCGTTTGTGTATGTCTCTATAGATGCTTTCTGTGTCCTGTTTGTATGTGCACTAGGAGCTTTCCAAATGAAGGGTCTTATACAGCTATTTCAAAGTGCTTTATGTTTTACTTGTCACTGCATCCTCAATAACTCACTGTTACCAATAAAAATGTCTAACAAGATTAGATACTTTTTCCCATCAGAGGAATAAAGGAAAGAAGATATGGCCAACTAGAAGGAGGAAGTCTCCAATAAAAAAAATAATAAAAAAAAAAGGCGGATTTTGCATTCTTAAAAGTAGGGCAGTGTTCTTGAGTGGGAGGGAATCCTTCTGTGGACCCGGATTGTGGGGAGGGCTGATAGAAAGTGTGGGAGGACACTTCTCAGAGGAGGGCAGCCGCGTTTCCAGAGGCTAAATGTTAAAGTTGAGCATGGTTTGGATGCAAATAAGAAGTTCTTTCACCTCCACTACTTGCTGTAAAACTTTTCTTTTTTTTATTTTTAAGGTCATTTGGGGGGAGTTTCTTTGCTCCCAGCCTCACTCTGTCAGTGTGGCCTGACCCCTGAATCTTACACTCCCACACAACTTGAGAACTTGATTCTTTTCTCACAAAAGACTTCTTTCCTACTCCTTCCTCCCCCAAAAGACTCCACATTTGAGGCTAAGTGTTTTGAACTGAGTCCTGGCTAGAGGGCATGTTAAGTATGTTCTTCTGTCCAATGTACATGGAAAAACATGAGCTTTAAAGTAAATGTATGGAAAATACCCCTTATCCAGGCCACAGTCTGTTCTTTCATGAATGTGCTTGTACTTATGTGATCTATTCTCTCTACTTCCTCTTTGAAACTGGAAAGGTAATCCACAGTGGTTTGAAATAATGAAAAGGAATAGAGAATCAAGAAAATAATTTCTGGGGGTATATTCAGTGGTAGAGCATTTGCTTAGCATGTTCAATGCCCTGGGTCTTATCCTCAGCACTGGAGGAAAAAAATAAGAGAAAAAAGAAAATAATTTCTTAGACCATTCTTCTGTGATCTTTTGGTTAGCAGAGTTAATACTTAAGGAATATAAAATGAGGATAAACTT